AGTTAAAGTTAGAGTTCGTGATTTAGATGTTAGATAGGAAAATAATGAAATAGTGGTCATTTACAATAAAAAACGATAACTAGTATTTTCATAAAAAGCTTATGGAATTTTTCGGAAAAATTTGAAAGTTTTCGAAATTTTGTTAAGTTTTTTCGCAAACATGTAAAAAAAACTAAAGCTTTCAGAAATTTGGTAAAACATTTCACATGTTTCTTTTAATTTCAAAACAAATTTGCTTCGTATCATGAGCTCGTGATGATGGGGCATTTCTGTCAACTCGAAGATGCTTTCCATATGACTTTATAAAATTGCTTGTTATTAGCTAAATGAAAATGACAAGAAGTTATTTGAGCAAATTCAATTTTGCTTTTTTTGCTAGCTGTATGTAGATTCAAAACAAATAGAAAAATAGATTCATGCTCAAAAAAAGTTTTATTAAGATAGAAATCTAAGCTATATAATGAAGTAGTTCATTAAAGAATTTTATTGAAATGTAAGAACAGAAGATAAAGGAGAAACTTTAGATTGTCACAAAGCTTAAGAAGATTGTTATTTATGTTAGAAAGAGATGAATGAGGAGACAACTCTCAAAGCAAACTTACAATGGTCTTCATAACACATATTTATATGAATACTTGCTAAAGCAAAGCAAACTTCAGCTACATATATATGGATTAATATTATGAGCTTGTGGACTTGAGTTGTGTGGATTTAATACTACCTACCTCATTATCCCTGGAAAAAGTAGAAGCAAGACTGAAGTCTTTCTTTATCTTAATAATTAAGAATTTTATTGTACATTTAATTAAAAAATTTATCTAGTATCTTCATTTTTTTATCAAACCTAATGTCTGCATTTTTTTTTTTGGGTCGAAACCTAATACCTTCATTTTATGACTTCCTCTTCACCTTAAAATTTAATGTTGCACAAAAATAAATCATTAAGAACGTTAGGAGAGAAATATCCTAAAAATAAAATTGTTATCAAAAGATTAATGTAAGTAAGAAAATTATTACTTCAATTTACAATAATACTGTAAGAATTACCTATTACAATCAAATTTTGGACCAATTAGGTGCGAATAAGTGACACCACACAATTGAGGCAAAGTGACAAGCTTGTTAGGATCGGGTGCTGCACTCGATAAACAATTCCACATATCTCGACGATCGTCATACGTTTTAGCACCCCGGTTTATGTTGTCTAAGCCTTTGCAACATTCTGGTGTCGGTTTAACACCAGGAGATGCATGAAGGTACGCCAAGCATGGTTTAAAAACAGTCAATGCTTCTTGACACGGCATTAAACTATGCACTGTCTTGACATTTAAAGTTGATGTTAAAATGGTGATTGCAACGACACAAGCTATAAAGATCGATTTGCTCATTTCTGTTTTGATTATTTGTGCTGTTGTCATATTTGGTTTGTTGCGCAAAAATATTTATAGGAGTGCATGTGCTATATACAAGAGAAGATCTTGAGAAGTTAATACAATAATTAGTATCTATTATATTAATGTGTATCATATTCATATCTTAAATGCTAATTAATATATCGTGACAAAATTATATTAATTGTGATATTAACTTTTCAAGATATTCTCTTATCCTCTCTAGTCGTGTGCATTACACATTTATACATTTTTCTTTTTTTCTTTTGTCGTCACACATTTACACTAAAAAGATCTTATAGATATAATATCAAGATAACATGTCTGTCAATGCTATTAAATAAATTTTATAAATTTATACAATTTTCTTATTTACCATAATTACTTTTAAATTTTTTTACATATTTAGTCTGTTAATAACATTTTTATTAGTATTTGATTGCTTTTTATGTTTTTGAAAATCTTTGAGATATCTATAATATTTTAATAATTCTTTTTGTTTTGGTTTTTCTAAAGACATGTTTTAGTTTTACATAATTTTGACATATGTCGGAAGCTAAACATTATGTGTCAATAATTAATATAAATAAAGGTTATAAGCAGACTACTAAACTACAACCACATTGGTTTCACAGAATGGTTAGTTAAATTTTCTAGAAGCCCATAAAAAAATTATACATATATTTTGTACACATTTAGAAATCGGTATTGTTCAAATACTGAATTTACTAGAACTTCATTTTAATTTCATCTTTTGCAGGAAGAATATACATTCGAGTGTGGATCTACTGATGAAAAAATTCAGGATAAAATTTTTGACTATCTACAAAAAAGTAAAGGTACACGAAGACTATCTAATATCTTGAGCCAAAATAAATCATCTATTATAGATATATATATACAACATTTCAACTAGGCTTAAAGTTTTAAAACGATGTCACGAATGTTTTTGTTTTTGTTAGGAGTTCAAGAAGTATATCAGAACATACAAACCCAATTAATAACCGTAAAGGGAGAAGGAATCGATGAGGATAAAATAAAGAAAAAGCTGAAAAAGATTTGTAAACCAAAAAAGGGGGTTCTAGAATGCTTTAGTTCCAAATAATGATATCGTGTTTATTTATGCTTTCCTATTTATTTGAATTTCACTAATAATAATTTTATGATTTTTATATATGTGTTGGATATCTGTTTAATTATTAATTATGTCTAAGTTATACTCCCTTCATTTCAAAATATATGTTGTTTTGGAAATTTTTTGTTTTAAAATGTAAGTTATTTTGATAATCGTAGATATTTTTTTAATTTTATTGATATTGTGTGACTACTAATATTTTGCAGTCTTTTGTGTGATTAGTCAAATTATTTGTATTAAATATATTAAATGATACTTTTTAGTAGAAATTAGTTTTTTAATATCTCTATTTTTAACTAAAATAACTTACATTTTGAAATATAACGAGTATTAGATTATAACTATATCGAACCAAAGATACTTCAATTAGCGAATTTTTTTTTTTTCCAATGGCATCTTCTACTATATAAATGATGAAGAGCACTCTCCAATTGAGTAAAATGTCAGCACAAGGAAGAAGACACGTGTTAGAAGAAAACCTCTTGCTTCCGCTTCCTTTCCGTGATACGTTTCAGAAGCTTCGAAGTTTAGAGTATGTTTATCGGAGAACTTTTTAAAGTATCATTAGATAAAAATGATTAAAAAATTACAAACTCAAGAGATTTGTGCTTGAGCTGTATTTGCACGCTGAGACGCAGGAGAAATATAGAGCCACGTGGCGAGTTATGATTGGACAATTGAAATTTTTTTTTTTTTTTCTAAATAGTAAATATTATTAATAAAAATGAAAATTTAGGA